GCCACCGGCAACGAGAACGACGACTTGGTACGATGGGAGGTGCACCGACACGGTGCCGTACGGTCCCCCGAGCACAATCGGCAGCGTTTCCTTGCCGCAGCCATTGCGGCTGGCAACGTCGTCGACCACTTTGTCGACAAAACGCCCGGTCGTCAAAGCCTTGATGCAAAACCCGATCGACTTCCCGTCCGGCGTGACGATACCTGTAAACGGATGCCACTCGACAATCGCGACGCTGGGCACTTGAACGTAAAAGAACGAGGCCGGATTCATGGTTGCCACCCATTTCTTCGTCAACGCGGTCGACGACAGCGTCAGGGTCACGGTCTTGGCGCCGGACGTGTCGACGATCGCGTCAAAGCGCTGACAGAAAGCTCGGACACGAAAGACGCCCGAGAACACGTAAAGGGCGAGAGGGACAATCATCGCGTAGCGAATGACGGCGCTGTGCAACAGCACAAACACAAAAACGACAATAGACGCCATGCGGTGGTGCATGTAAAAGCGCGCATAGTACTTGCGCCGAAACCAGCTCGCCACGACGAGCGAGAGGCCTGCTACCAGGGCAAATGCACCGGCGATGGGCCACACGGCGGACTGCCCATACACTTGAGTGCTCACGGGACTCGTCGCTGGAATGTACAGCACCAGGTGCACGAGGCCAAAGAGCACAAACAGCCACGAGCTCGCACGATGGAATTTCAGTACGCGGTCATGGGACGAGCCAAATAAATGTTGCCAGTGCGGTCCGCGCGCAATTGGAATGAGCGAAAACATCAGGCTCAGTAACGAGAGGTGGCCCGAGATGAACGCAAAGCGAGCGTAGTTGAGAATCGGCGTTGGCGTCTGGAGATAGAGACTGGCACCGACGAGCGCACCGAGAAAGAGCAGCACGATAATGCCTTCTCCGATCTTGAGGTCGGCGAGAATCTGCACCAGTGGCGCAAGACCTTTGTCGGATTTGGGCGGAGCGCACAACGTTGTGTAGTTGATGAGGCGGAAACGACCCAAGTACGTGGCGACAATACCAAGCGCCAACATGACGCCAAAGACACCAGCTGCAATGACCGCCGTGTAGAGTGTGTTGAGCGGTGCATTGACATTGTGCGCCGCGTTGAGCGTCAGCTGAAGCGCACCGCTGGCCTTGTGGTCGGATGGGAATGACTTGGTGTCGTACGACCATGTTAATGTCGTGACGCCGCTCGGGTCAATGGCCACGTCCGAGTCGACAACGGCTGCAAGCCGCCGCTGAAATGTAAAGGAGAGCACGCCGTTGATGTGCGTCGACTGCGTCACGTTGATTGGCGATTGGTCGGCATTGACTGTCGTGTCTTGGAGGCCGCCGCCCTTCATGGTGTAGAGCAGCGCGGGAGGTGCCGCGACATCCAAAATCACAACGTTGTACGGTGTGTCGCCGACCATTTTGGGCGTCGACGCAATGGCCAGTGACCCCCACTGCACCGTGTCGTCCGAGATGTTGAACTGGAAGCAGACATACTCGCCTTGAACAAGCACCTTGATGGATGCTGGCGTACGGCCCATTGCAATGACGGGGGCCGCAGCAAACGCAGGAGACGCACACACGTTGGTGGTCATGGCTGGCGCAGCTGTTAGACCGGCGACGTAGTGAAGTGCCAACAAGACGAGATGCGCTTTGGTACGCATGGACGAAATCATTGCTGCACTACAAGTTGGTAGCACGAGAAGAATTCTTATCTGTCATCGGCTTCGTCAGATTGGCCAAGCTGGGCCCCCATCTATAAAGCAGGGGTCGTTTCATGACTATTTTGTCGTCCAATCAAGTATTAGTACTACATGGCAACGTAAACGAAAGGCCCATTTGCGTGTTCCTGCTCAGTCCAGCGTCTTCCACCGAGGACTGCCTAGCGCAGCCAATTCAAACAGCCCTCTTACGTCCAGCGTCGATCAATGAACGATGTGTTCGGACGCGATTTGACTTCAGAGCCATTTCGAAAATCTCTGTAATTTTGCGCACTGCAGTGTGGACCTAAACGATGGATGGTTTTTCATTCGCGACACGAAAGCGACGCAGCCGGTATCGGTCGCGAATTACTTGGCGCGGCTCTGGACGCTCGCGCTGAAGCGTGTCGTGTGGCAGGTCATGGTCTTCATCTTCCTCTTCTCGCTCAGCAACTCGTACATCAACACGACCGCCGCGCCGTACGTGGCACTCTACTGGGCCAAGGTCGAGACGCTCAACACGGCGTTGACGAGCATTTTGGGTAGCCTCGTCTTTGCGAGCGTGCTCGCGGCCACGGGCAAGTATGGAACCCAGTGGAACTGGCGCTACGCGCTCGTGCTCATGGCCGTCGGTGCGAATGTGATTGATGCGGTCGCGGTCTATTGTCCCATCTACGACGTGCTCCGCAGTCAGTGATTCTTCTTTGGCGTCCTGCTCACGACGCAGCTGCCGTTGGGCATCAACTTTGTCGTTGGTACGTTTGTCATCATCGAGCTCGCCGACGAAGGTAGCGAAGGTGTCATGTACGGCCTTTTGACGACGATCGCAAACCTTCCGGGCGTCTTTGGCCCGCTGCTTACCGTCCCCGACGCCCACTTTGACGTTGGGAGAGAGCGTATTGCGCTCGATGCGCCCGAGACACGGAACCACGTCGCGTACACGTATGTGATTTCGTACGCTGCAACGGGTCTCGGCTGCCTCTGCGTCTTTCTCTTGCCAAGCCAGAAGGCCGCAGTCGCCGACCTCAAGGCACTTGTCCGAGCAACGTTGGAATCAAAACACTAAGTCTCGTAGCGCGTTCGAGTAGTCTGCGTTTGCAAACCACCTTAAGCGTTCGCATACAGACGGTGTCGATGAGCGAAGCTTTTTGAATGACCCTATTCTTGGACCCTGGCTGGGGTCCTATC